CTGCCCGAAGATGCTCGAAATGAGTTCGGAGTGCTCCTTGGCGGCCTCGTTGTGCATGGAGGCCGTGAAGTCGGTGAGCACCTGCCCGCCCATCCTGAGGATCCTCTGCATCTGGTTCTCCCACAAGCGCATCGTGGGCACCTTCTCGGCCTGGACGGCGGCGGCGATCTCCGAGAGCCCCACGGCGGTGTCGACGACGTTGATGGTGACGGGGCACCTCCCGACGTGGACGGTGCCAACCTGGGCGGCACACCCATGCGCGACCCCTCCATCCCACCGCATGCGCTCTGAGATGGGCGTGGGGGGAGGGGGCGGCGACGACGGCTGGCAGGGCGACGGCGACAACGACGCGGGGCAAGCTGGCACACAAAAAGCATCACTTATCATCTTAGGGGTGGGCCGCGTCCTCGCAGGGGATGCGGCGGAGGGTTACCGCGGCCGATGCCATCGATTCAGGCTGACATCGAGAAACGCTCGGAGGGGTGGCATGAGAACTAGCAGATGAGACAGGGGAGCGCCTGCAGGCCAATGGATGCCCCGAGATACCCACCATCACCACCTAGGGGTCGTTTGAAGCTCACTGAAAGATGATTGGGAAAGCGATCGCAAGGACCCCAAAGCAAGCTACACAATCGGAGGAACCTCCAGAAGCCCATATATATCGTCCAACAACCACCTGGGGGAACCAGCAAGCTCCATGGGGCCCGCTGGAACATCACCGAAACCCTCGCAGGCCCCGTGGGGCCGTTCGAAAGCCTGACGAGCCACATGGGCCTCCAAACCCTTGCGCGCCCCCTGGGGGCCCTATTAGGCACCACGGACGTCTCTGGTCGCCCGAGAGTGGCCCACGGCCCGCCCCTGGAGAAACATCGCAAGATGACGGCCCCAGCATAATCATCACGGGCGCTACTGAACTGCGCAAAATTACTCTGCACGCGTGCATGCGCCGAAACAGCAGAACGCAAATGCGAACCTTCTTCGCTTGCCAGTCGCAGCGAATGACGAAGGTGAAGTTCCTGGGAAGCTTGCACATGAGACTCGTATAGATGCGCCCGAACGCAGCCTGATCGGATGCGTCCGACAGGCGGCCTTGCCGTTCGGAAGGCGCGCGGGCATGGCGTATACACTGTATGAGCAGAAGCCTCAAGCTTACCGAAGGGAACTCCAAGCATCTATCTGGCTCACGCTCGTGCTGCCGCTGATCGTAGGGGATGTTCTGGCGGGCGCAGCCGCTGGTGCCGCCGAGCTTGGTGGACAGCTCAACCCACCTGGCGCGCCTCTTGTGAAACCAGTAGGGCCCGTTCTGGTTCTTGTTCAAGTGCAGCTTGGCCACAAGGTCACCCCAATTGATGAAAAGCCGCCCGCCACCACGGTTGAACTCAAAGGCAGCGCCGACAACTTCGAGGCCATCGAAACCTGGAGCCTGCTCAACTAACGTGAACTGTCCAATCTGGTGGGCGTTGACTAGGCGCGTCGCCTGGAATACGGGGCCCCCCGCGAAGCTGACAACCATGGTGGCGAGGTCGTCCAAGCTGTTGCCGTACACGCTCGCGGACAGGACGTCGGCGCACCATTGGCACGGGGTCTCGTCATCTGGGTCCACTGGCTGAATCAACGCCGCAGCCGTGCCGTCGGAGCTGACCTCCTCGGTCAAGTCCCAGACCTGAGAGGCCCCGCCCCCCCCCCAAAAAACAAAAACAGCTACCTAACACAACTGCCCCTTCCGCCTCAGACGCGGCGAGATGGGGAACCCCGCCACGTCCGACGCGCGCACTGCCCCCTGCTCGGGTCAGGGGTAGGAGGGGCGGGGGTGGCGAGGAACGAAGCCATGGGCGGGCGACCACAGTGGAAGGCAATACCACTCGCTCGAAGGTCACGGCGTGCATCAAGATCTGCACATGGGTATCTGGGGAAGGCTCGTCGTTGTGGAGCTGGAATGCCCTCGCCGCCCCCTGCAACGGCAACATGTGCACTGGCGCACATCGAACCAAAAACAAACTAAGAACGGGCGGCGACATGCTGGGCTCGGGATGGGTGGAGGGAGCGGCCCCCCCCAAGCGCGACTGCGAGAACTCAGACTTCGAACTGGCGCCAGCTGCGTCGGCGCTGCCCAGGCCGAAGGGGCGTGCAACTAGAATGCGCCGCGCGCGAGATGACCCCCCCTCCTGCCAGACACGCGAGGCTCTATTCCGAATGAAGTCGACCCTCGGACACATCATCCCAAACAATTCCAAACCAAAGCTCGGGTGGAGGGGCGGGGCCTGGTCGACATGCAATCGCGCCCCCGCGGGGCCGCAGAGGACTCGGGGGGGGGGGGGGAGGGGGAGGGGGGGCGCGGGCAAGGGCGCGGGCGCGGGAAAAGGGCGGCGGGGCGGAGGTGGAGAGGGCGACGGGGAAAGCGGCGAGGGGCGAGGAGGCAGGCGTCGCATGCAAGCGGAAGGCCGCCCGCGCCAATACCATGCATGTTTTGCTCACGCGTGGGCGCCAGCTCGGGCGAGTCGTGCGGCCCGAGGCGATGCGCCAGCTATCCCGCCGACTGCGGGACACGCAAAGACCGTGGGTACCTAGTTAGAGAACAACACCACGTGCCGTCTCAAACCTCACCCCTGCGCGAGCCAGCCCAGGGCCAAATGGCAGGATGCGCCCACCCCGAAGTTATTGTTCCATCGGGGGGGGGGGGCTCCGCTGCCTGCGAAACCAGCTGATCACGTACACCCCCCATCGACAAGTCAATGCGGTGGTGCGACCATGCGTGCCCTACCTCCAAATCCCGCCCATCTCTCCATGCGCAGTCCCCTACCGTTCTCCTGCACCTCCCCCCATGGTCCGACGTACTCAGCCCAGCGTGACCCCTATCGAACGGAGCTGAGGACCTACACCCACTGGCCAATGCGCTCGCACGCTCTCGATAACTCAACTGACAACGAAAAATCACGCCTAAAATTGCCCACACAGGCCGCGTGGGGAGGGGCGCAAAGTGAATGAGTAACAGGCAGGGTCCACGCACCCATGCGCGCATCCCGCCCGAGCAGCGATCGACCCCCCAGCAGCCTGACTCGGCCAAGGAGCCGATCTCACTCTCCAGGAGAGCGAACAACGGAAGCGGCCTGCATCTTCGGCATCACGCGCTGGCGCACGCGCCTCGTCTGCTCAACGAGGTTCGAGGGCACGACCACCTCGAGCGCCTTCTTCTTCTCCTCGTAGGTCTCGAGGAACTTCGCGCTCTTGTCCACGGCGGCGCGCTTGAACTTGGCGGCCGTGTCCTTCTCCCCGATGAGCTTCAGGATCGTGAGCTTCTGGGACATGTTGATGATGAAGGCGCCCGTCTCGTCGAAGTTGTCCTGGATGATCTTGCCTGCGGCGACGGGCGGGGGGGGGCGCTGGGGGGTGCGTCGGCGGAATGGCATGGGGGAAGCGCACTGGGCGGGGAGGGCCAGTCAGGGCATGACAAGGTTGCGGGGCCCAGCGGGAACTGGCAGTGCGATGCCATCAGACACGAGTGATCACGCAATGCGATGATCTGAGGACGCGGCGAATCGGCCGCGGATGCAGGGGGGGCGCTGGGGGGCACTGATCACCTGCATGCGTGACAAACCCGCGTTGGGGGCACGCGAGCAAGCAGCAATCAACGCGCGCCGCCTGCAGGCCGCGGATCCTGCAGCACGTGCACCGTGCTCCTGATCAAGTTGTGGACACTGTCGGCCTGGCTGGGGCGGCGCGGGGCGGGCTGGCCAGAGGCGAGGCGACAGCGGCGGGGCGAGGGAGGCGCGAGGTGGAGGAACGTCAATCCAACGAGGACGGGGAAGACAACGTGGCGATGCATCTTACGCGCCCTCTGGTGCGAATATCAATCCTCGCCGCCCCCGAGTTGGCGATCCCGCTGGCGCCCTGAACGACATCCTGTTCCCTTCCATGTCAAAAAAATCGACTCCAACCTCCCCCATGTGCACTCCCGTTCCTCCCGCAGCATCCTCGTCCCCAACCTGCCTCCCAAGCCGCGCGCTCGCCCGCCCCCGCATAGCATTGCCGACCCGCGTCGCCCGCCCGCCCATCCACCCACCCAGAGACTCCCACGACGAGTCGGCGCGCAGACGAAACGCAACAACGGGGCCCCCGCTTCGCCACTTGAAGCCGCTGCGCCGTGAACAACAGAGAAGGCGCAGCGCGGCGGCTTCCACGTGAGGATATCGTTATCCATGCACGAGTTGAAGAAGCCATCGCCCTTGTCCAAGAGCGCCCTGTCGACCACCTGCTTGGACACGAACTGCGCGAACACGTCCTTCTTGCGCATGTCCCCGCCGATGGGGGAATTGTTGGGGAGTCCTGCAGCTGGGGCGCGCGCCCAAGGCTCTGGCCTCGCCGTCGTCGTCGTCGTCGTCGCCGCCTCCGCTGCCGTCGTCGTCGTCCTCGGCGTCGTCGTCGTCGCCATCGTCGGCGTCGTCGTCGTCGGCGTCGCCATCGTCGCAACCGTCGCGAATGTCGTCGCCCCCGTCACATTCGTCGTTGCCGTCGCCGACGTCCTCGTCATCGTCGTCACCCTCGTGACCCTCGTCGTCTTCGCCATCATCACCATCATCATCATCGTCGTCCTCGCCATGGTCCTCGTCATCACCGTCGTCATCTTTCCCGTCCTCGTCAGCGCCGTCCTCCTCGTCACCATCGTCGCCGTCGCCCTCGTCATCGTCGTCGCCACCGTCGTCGTCGTCGTCGCCATCGCCGTCGTCATCGCCACCGCCAACGTTCACCACCCTGCTCCAGGGCTCCGGCCTCGAAGTCGTCTCCGTCGCCGTCGTCGCGATCGTCGTCGTCATCGTCGTCGCCGTCGCCGTCGGCGTCGCCGTCGTCGCCGTCGTCGTCGGGGATCAGACCCCCGCCTCATCAACATCTCCTGCCCCCGCCCGACCCCGCCCCAGAAACGCTTGCCCTGGCAGATCCCCGCCCCGCCCCCATACGGCGTCCTGTGAGATGCACGTTGCAGCAGGACATCTGCTTGGTGCTCTTGCGGCACATGACCTGCAGCACTGCAGAGGGGATGCCTTTCTTGGCGATTTTGCCGTAGAGGGCGAACATCCAGGGAGGGGGGACATCGGCGAGGGTGTTGATGTGCTCTGGCCAGAGCGGGTCCTCGGACAGTGATTTGGCTACCTTCTCGTCTTTTTTGGCGCCGCTGAGGCGCCGCCCGTGTTTGGCCTCTATGTCCTGGATGGGTTTGGCCGCCATGATCCTGATCAGCTCGATCTTGTCGGATTCCTGGGCCCGCGCCAGGCGAGCAGGGGGGAGGGGAGGCAGGCGCGCGCGGGCGGGATGATGAATCGGGGAATATGGGGATCGGGACGACTGGAGCATGACACAGTGGGCAGTACTGGGCAGAGAGGGGCTGCGCAAGGAGGCATGGAGTACGGAATAGGAAGTGGGGAAGTTGGGGATAGCTAATACGGCATGGACGCCGCAAGTAGGAAAGAAGGGGGCGGTGTGGGGTAGGGTAGGTAGCGGGAACGTCCTCGTCATCGTCGTCGCCGTCGTCGTCGTCGTCGTCGCCGCAGCCGTTGCCGTTGCCGTCGCCGTCGCCGTCGCCGTCGCCGTCGCCGCCGTCGCCGTCGCCGTCGCGGTCGCGGTCGCGATCGCCGTCGCCGTCGACGTCGACGTCGCCGCCGCCGTCGCCGCCGTCGCCGTCGCCGTCGCCGTCGCCGTCGTCGTCGTCGCCGTCGTCGTCATCGCCGCCATCATCGTCGTCATCGTCGTCATCGTAGCCGTCATCATCGCCATCATCGCCATCGCCAGCATCGTCGTCGTCATCGCCGCCATCATCGTCGGCATCATCGCCATCGTGACCATTATCGTCACCATTCTCGTCGACGTTCTCGTCGCCATTCCTCACGTAATGGCGACGGTGATGGTGACAGCAACGGCGACGATGGCGACGATGTCGGCGATGGCGGTACCGACGACGACGATGACGCTGACGATGGCGACGGTGGCGATGATGACGACGATGATGACGACGATGACGACGATGATGCTGGCGACGATGACGACTGCGACGGCGACGGGGACGGCGACGGCGACGACGGCGACGGCGACGGCGACTGCGACGGCGACGGCAGCGACGGCGACGGCGACGGCCACGGCGACGGCGGCGGCGACGGCGACGGCGACCTCGGCGGCGGCGGCGGCGGCGGCGGCGGCGACGGCGACGACGGCAACAGCGACGACGACGGCGGCCAGCTCCCATCGCTCCTGCCCCTGCCCCGTGCATTGCCGCCATCGTCGCCATCAACGCCATCGTCGCCATCGTCGTCGCCATCGTCGCCATCATCGTCGCCGTCATCGCCATCGTCGGCATCGCCAGCGCCATCGTCGAAATCATCGTCATCATCGTCGTAATCGTCGCCGTCATATCATCGCCATCGCCAGCGTCGTCGCAACCGTCGCCGCCATCATCGTCGACCTCGTCGCCATCGTCACCATTATCGTCGCCATTATCGTCCCATTCTCGTCACCATTATGGCCATCATCGTCGACCTCATCAACATCGCATCCATCATTGTCACCATCATGCCCCCGTCGTCGTCATCATCGCCATCATCGCCATCGCCGCCATCATCGTCACCAACGGTGACGATAATGGCGGCGAGCGGTCCTTGAGGAGACACTTGATCACGT